GGTAAGAGCGTACCGCACTTCAGACTGTAGAACAAAAATAACACCCAAAAGAAAAAATCCCCCAACCTTAAACCACCTTCCGGCACAGCAAATTTGCCAATGAAAATGCCCAAATACGTGGGGAGGGGAAACCTCCTCACTCTGGACTCTGTAGGTATTTTTGTTCTAGAGTACCTTCCCTTCCAGTGAGGCTCATGTCTCAGCTACAACAGTCTCCAAGGAAGGCGGAGGACGAAACGCCTGACCTGCGCGCACAGCACACCGCGAGGAACGTCAAGGACCCTCCAGGTGAGAGTGCAGTTGCGAAGCAGAGCGCACAGGGGCGGAATACCTTCACTGCTTTTGAAGGCGCTGGCTCTGCGGTAAAAGCCAAAGATGGGAATACAAACGAAAGGCCTGCTTAAGCCGCTGCCCAAATCACACAAAGCACTGGAGCTTCCCAGGCTTCTGCAGCACTGGGGTGGGTTACAGCCACCCCCTCGCCCCCTCCCCGACTCCCCGGGTGAGCTGGGCGTCTCGCTCAGCTGTTAGCGCCCACCATCAGCTCACAGCAGAGACAGCAACTGCTCCTATTCCTAGGGACGGGCTGCTGCGTGATCCAGGGAAGGGAAGGAGGGGAGAGGATATTTAACCACTGACATGCTAAGTACTCTGTTCATAAGCCTAGTCTATAAAAATGGGGGGAAAAAAAAAAAAAAAAAAAAAGGCAGTCAGAACCAAGCCTCCTTAAGGTAAAGAGCATTATGTACAGGGTCATTAAAGATCAGCCAAAAAATTCCTCCCAAGGTCAGATTTCCTCCAGTGAGGTGTTTGGGTTTTTTTTTTTTCCCCACGGACTAGCTTCCTTCTCCAGGAAAAAAAAACCCAGCTGAACGCACAAGGTACACCTACGAGTTAAAGTTACTAAAGCAGATGGAGAAGGTCGGGAAGTAAGACTCAAAAATCACTTGGAACCACAATACCCAAACCTGCTAGCTAGCTTGTTTACCCACCGCAGACAGACCATTAGCTGGGACTCCTCCACAGTCTCCGTTGTTTCTGCTGACTTACCGAAGGAGTCGAAAGCCAACCTGCTCTGAACAGAAACGCACCTAAGGGTGAGGCAACGGGCAGATGCAGAATGGGGAAAGGCACTAAATTCATAACAGGTGGTGGTAAGACCTATTCTTCTACAATGCAGACCACATCCTGCTCTTCTGCCAAAAGCAAAATTCTCACCGAAGACAAAAAGTTCTTGTTCAAGTTAAGAGTTTCAGAGGGTCCTTTAGTCCACCTGTGCAGCAGAAGGAAGACAGTGGTTACAAGAAGAGGAAGAAGCGGACAAAAAATAAAAGGCAAGAAAACCCTGTGGCTTTCAAGTCGAGCAGCATCTGTCTCCAAGAACATAATGTGGAGCTGACAAGTCCTACAATGCACCAGAGAGAGGGGGTGAGCCATGGTCAAGATGTCCAGAAAGGTTTCAAAGATTTCCCCCGAGAAGGCAACAGCCCAGAAGACAGTTGTATGTGCGTTGTAGGAAACGTGACTGCGGATGTATGTGATGTGACTGCAGTGCAACTTCCAAAACGTCTCCAACCTGTTTTGTGATGTGAATCCAATGTGACCCTTTGATGAAAGCAATCTGTTCTATAGAGCCATGCAGCCAGCAAAGCAAATGCCGCTTCTGCGGGTTTCTTCAACTGGAGTCACACTGAAGCCAAAGGAAGGCATAACAGCAAAAGAAAGTCTGAACAAAATACCTACGGTTTCAATGGTTTTGTTTTTCCCTGAAAAAGGCTTTGCTGAGAAAAGCTTTCATTAGATTTAATGAACTTCACTTTTTCAGTAAGGTAAGGAAACCCATTTAGGTCACAGGAGCAGAATAACAGTGCAGCGGCCGGCAAAATCCCCAACCCAACAGTATTCGTATTTACTACCGTGAGCAGCATCCTCAGCAGGGTTTTAGTGTGTCTTCCCAACTTCCCCCACATAATCAGAAGCTAGATGACAGTTACAGACAACAAGCAAAATTATTTCCTGGAAGAAAGCCCCTGACAGACTCTTCATCAATACCGATGATAAACAAACAGGCCACGAGCTGTATCCAAACAGCCAAAGTTTTGGATAGGTTCAGAAATCAACTTGGATCGCAATCCCTCAGCTGGTCCCTCTTTGTGATGAGTTTTAAGAAACTCTGAACTTTCCAAAAAGTTTGAATCAGAACTTTGCAGGCAAACTCCCATGTTTCCTGCGTTCCATTGTGAAAGGGAACAACGACAAGTGATTTTTTTTTTTTCCCTTCCCTGGAAAACACCAGTGAAAAGTAACAGCCATGACAAAAGCTACGCTTATAAATAGGCCAGTGACACAGACAGAATAGCACGGCAAAATATTCTGCCCGAATGTGACAAGAGAAGAATTCTTACAAATCAAGAAAATGCAGACTTCACTGGCTTTTCAGCTGCTG